GCGAGACTAATCCGCAACCAAGCGTCCCCAAATAGATGCCATGAGGCACGCTGGCTATTACGTTACACTACCATCGGGTCTCGAACCTACGACCTCCCTTAGGCCTTTAGGGTGAAATTAGTTGATGACCTGAGACACCCTTAGGGTATTAATTCTAATATAAAGGGAAAAAATTTTATCACCGTGTACGAAAAATTAGTAAATTCCTAAAAATTGTCTCTAACATCTATTAATAAAATTAACGAATATTTTTCATATTGCTTCTAATAAACTGATGTTCAGGCAAAATAAATCGTAACTAAAATTTCGAATCATCGATAAATTGTTTAATTTGTATTTTCAATCATAATTATTAGACGCAGTTTGAAAGAATTTTAGTTTCAAAATACTTCAGACTACAAAAACAGTACCTGCGATATCTGGACAGAGTTGCCATCCGTTTCCGCCCCTTCAATCCCTGCACTTTTTGATGCAGATGGGCTGTTTGGATTTGTAGGCAGCGAATTCATTTGCCACTCAATGACTTTCGTCGATGACAGCGCCGCCTTCCTGTTGTAAGATATTCCATCTTTTGGTAAGCTGAAAGGCAATTAAATAAAACATTACATTCGAATTACATCCGTCTGTTCAACGTGATACGAACCGATCTCAAAACTGCAGTTAATTAATATTGATGAAGTATGTAAATAATTTTCAAGAGAAATATGGTATGGTTAAGAATATACATTTTAGCGTGTATAAACAAATTAAGAAAATTACATTTTTATTCATGATGAAAATCTTTCATTCAGTTGCTTTCAAAACGTAATGATATTTTGAACAGTTTTGGAGTGAATCGTGGAGGAACTTGATGGACCAGTTGATATTAACCAACATGAAATTACTTAACCCTGTAGTGAGAACATCTGCCTCACAGACACAGTAACTACGGTTATCACTTGAAACGTTATAAAGCAACATCATCGACCTCAAGTACTTTAGAACTCTTATAATCTTCAAGGTGAGAGAGTCATCTCGGCAGTACGTGCGACATTTTAACGTAAACTTTAATTTTTTGACATTATATGCCTAACAGTCAAATGTTTCAACAGTTGTAGGTTTTGATGTCTGATTTTCATACTGATATTTCTGACACTGACATCCAATAATGTATTGCAATGCATAATTATTCAGAAACAAAAACGAATTTTACATTAGCCATTTTGGTTTTGTTTTGGTTTGGTTTCATTGTAATTTCTTGATTTTTTAAACTGTTTTCAACATACTACATAAATATTTGTCTGCCAAATATTTTTATGAATTTTTATGTTAATTATTTGAAATATGTTTACTTTGTTAACCTATTAATAGTCTGACAACGTTAAATATTTATGTTAGTACTTTCTATTTATAAAATGGAAAATTAATGTAAAATATTTTAATAAAGTCTTTTTTAAAAAGAACATGTATCAAAAATCATTTTAAGTCCATGATTAAAAGGTGAGTTATTAATGATTTTAGTGACTTACTGAGACACATACTCCTACTGAATATAAAAACATGTTCCCATCACAGAGTTAATCATAAACCACAAAAAGGTGGATCTGTGATAGATAACAATCTCCCAAAAGTATCAGCCTTTGTTAGTGTCTCCATCTAACCTAGACTTACAACAGATTTGTCATCTTAACAGTCATACCAATAGCATTTCCATGCATTAAACAATGTTGGATACTGAGCGCAAAACCCTGACTAAATTAGAAAATAACAAAAGAAAAATATTTTCCGTAAAATATTCTTTCCTCCACACAAAAAAATAATGCGGTGGATGGTTACAAGCGACACATATGTGTAGGCCCCATGTGGGTGCGAAGAACAGACGTTTAAAATTGTTTGACGCGACGAGGCGGCTTGCCCCGCGCGAAGGGAGCTGCGGAGGGGAATACGTTTGCTGACCAGCTGGGCGGGGTGGATTGCAGCATCCTTCTTCGAAGTGCAACTGCGCCAGCGGTCGTGCTAGGAACGTGTATTCGCGAGGGACCTTATTACAGTGAGCGACGAGAATCGATCCTAATCTGTCTGTATCGACGTCACGATTCGGCATCAGAAGTAAAACAGTTTGTAAATGTGCAACTAAAGTCACCACAGAGATTTATTAGAAGAACATTTGGAAACTCTTTCAGGCCAAATTCGTAGTGATATCGCATTTTGGTACGCGGAAAATACAGCACGTGGCAAGAAACTACAACCCGGCGACATGCGTGCGCAATTGCTTGCGTGGCTCCCGTTGGAAAAGTACCTTGTCTAAAACGAGTAGCAAATCCGGTGTAAATTGTAAAGTGCCAGATTCGCATAAACTGTTGCTGCACGAACTTTATACCCCGAAAGCCTAATTGGTGTGCGTTGGAGATGCGGTGGCCTGCGGAGCATTTCGCGGAGAGGCCCTCCGCATCCAGCGCGTCAACTGCTCCCATTTCCTTTGTGGAAGTCCTTTTGAAGGTTTAGCGGAGGTAGAATCTGATAAAAAAGTGACAGCCTAGTGCTATTGGAATCGAATTAGTTCAGTGAACCTCCATTTTTGACGCGCAGACAATTAAAATGTCCCCAGAGAGAGATGATAGTCAAGTTCATGTATAGTTAGATGGGATGATTTTGTAAACAGTAGAATAATGATTTTGTGGAGTGGAATTAATGGTGTGTGAAATAATGTTAATATGGAGAATGAATGTGGGGCGGCAAGTTATGTTTAATGTTGTGTTCATAGCAGTTGTGTGCTATTTTTGAAAGTAAGAAATTTGCTGATGGGATCCCACAATTTTCTTATGAAGTCAATTTACTGCCCGCTTATGAAGTGAAAAAAGTTACTAAGTCTTCGAAGTGTAGTGAAAGATGCAATATATCCGAGAGCATACGCAATTATGCAATCATATCAGATATGCAATCATATCGGAGTGTTTTATTCCTCGCCCAAGGGGGTGTCGCAGAAAGATGCTCGTTACGAGGTTCACTTTATTTCAGGGTGAGAGGATCTTTCGGGTGTGAAAAGAATAATGAAGTTACGAAAATCAAATAAACTTTGAAAATATTCTGCCACTTATTGAATACCATGCACAAAAATTAAAGAACATGGCGCAAAACAAACGATACTCAATCAGATTTGTTTGATTTGCGAATCTTTCTCAACAATTACAACTCTTAAAATATTAGAAATACCTTTTAAATATTCATAAATTCCTTTGAAAATGAATCATTTCATTTGCATGCAATAGCAACATTTCCATATAGTTTTTTCACTTAAGTTCAAAAGTCACGTGCTGCAAAATGTACAAGGCTTGTTATTCGTGATTATACAGCTTGCTCCCCAACCTGTTCTACTACGTAGAGTATGCTGTTTTCCCGCTGAATACCTCGCTGTTCCCTAATTTAGTTAAAATTTATTGGAGCGACCGCTGCCCAGAGCACTTTCAAGCAGTCGCGGTCACACGCCCATCGTTTGAACCGTACTTGGAGACTTCTTGTTGAAATGCAGTTCTTCTGCCTTTTGTGCTCGAGCTCCCTTGGCACGGCGGCGTGGGCCTCGCCCCGCGCCCCGGGTGGCGCTGCCGTCTCTCTCGAGGGCTAGTCAGCGTTTCTTCGCGGTCCGGGATTCCAGCACCCACCTCCTGCTCTCCTGCTCCCTCTTCTGGCGCCGACAAACTCTTCTTCGCTCCTCCGCCACGCCCTCCGCACGAACAACGCCAACGTGCTCACAGTCCGTACACGCGTACAGTATCTCAGGCGTTTCACAGTTCTTGGCGTAGCTTTCAGCACACACTTCGAATCACGGATTCTAATCAGGTCGCTCAGTTCTCACTGTTTTCCATTTGCAGAAAGCTTACTGTATGCGTTCCTCAACTACTTTTCTTTTCAGTCCAGTTCAACTTTTGGCACAGTTTTCATATTTACTCGGTCTATTTTCCACTATTTCACATACAAATGGCGATAACTGATTTTATGCAAATTATCTCTCTTTTCACTAAGTAAATTCCACTGTAATCTCTTTAAAGATGGCGACCTCCCGCATGAACACTAGAGCCTCGTAGATTACGACTGTCTACGCCGACAATCTAAACAAGAATGATTTGCCAGTCATTTGTGCCCGCATTTATGTGCCGAGCCTTCAGAAGAGGGGCGGTATTGCGCCATCCTCTCCCGGGCTGACCCCTCGCGTTCACTATCAACCGCAAGCGCCGCGCCAAGTTGCGGTCACTACTTACCAGATCGCGTCCTATCCACGCTGAACAGTGGTGAACTCTCTTCCCCGAAGCGTGTTTATGCGATGCCGCAGTTGCGTGGGTGGCTGAGGCGTTTGCTTATTAGAGCAAATATTTGTGTGTGTGTGTGTGTGTGTGTGTGTGTTTGTGTATTATTTACTAGCTAAAGTACCTTGCGTAGCATGGGTATTTATCATAATAAATTTATTAGCCAGGAAGAGGAATTCCATCCATTTCCATCCCGCAGCCGATTCTACTATTAGCTATTCCAACGTATTCCCACTCCTCCCTGCCCGTTCCTCTCTGCCTTTCTTCCATCTGGAAGTACACATTCTTACTCTCTCACTTTCTCACTAAATAGTTTTATATTTTTTTTTGTTGGAGAAGCTATCGCACAAACTTCACTTTCCCTATAACTAAAATTAATAAACAAAAACACTCAAAACATTAAATACATGTGTTCATGTAGAATTCTTAATGACATTTTATATGTTGTACTAATAGTTTCAATCAATTACCACGATGTAAAACTTACCATCTTTCATATTTTTCTTACTTTAAAAAAATTGATCTTAACGACATGCCATAACGGCAATTGATGTTTAAATATAATTAAAGGGCTTTTTATTGAATTCTAGTACACGTATCAGGGACCTTGAAAAGTAAAGGTGACAGAAAGCTGCCATTAATCATGTAGACAATTATAATATCTTCAAAATCAGAGATCATAGTGGATCCTGGCATGACAAAGAACATTTTTCTATTATCTAAAGTAGCCCACTTTGTTCTATTTTCAACAACCTTGAAAAACAGCGTTGACACACGTTCTATTTCTTTAAATAGCCATTTACCATTACTATTTTACATCAATTCTTCTTCTTCTTCTTGACGAACTTACTCTCATCAAATAATTTTTTCTTCACTACCCAAAGGTATGCTTTCAATCTTCACTATAATGAAGCACTCCCGTACAAAAAAGCATCCGCCTGTCACTGTTGCAGCAGATCATATGAATCCTTCATAACATGTTTCACTTTCTCTCGTACGAAATAATCATGCTTAATTTACTACCAGTAAACCAGAAATTAATTTTTGGAAAAGACGTGCACACGTTTTTACAACAATGACCAGCACTTCAGTCAGTGAAATGACTTTTTTCTCAATGATTTCATATTTCTTGTGCATTTGATTTATTCAAGCAAATATTATCAATATCCAAGTTACTTTTATAAATAAAGAGAAGAAAAACTGTCAGAATCATTCATTAATATGAATATTTCGGATTAGACAATTGAATGTAAAATATACAAACAGTCGTCTCCTATCCTAGAGATATGCAATTCTGTGCATTGATGCACTGAATCGTACATATCAGTAGTCACAGTCTGATTGCACACAGCTACATTATTGCACATTGACGCTCTCTTCAATCTGTGATGCAACGCGAGGCGAAAACATTGCAAAAAAATAATTGTTCTGTAAATATATTAAGGTTTATGGTTATAAATCATAGTCTACAGTACTCCTGATCATCAAAGAATGCTAGCACAAAAGTTTCATAGATGTTGGTTCAGTATCTTCAGAGATTATCGCGCTGTAACTCAACACCCTCGCGTCCTAATTTTTTATGTATTACCCCTCTTGTGCGCATAGCGTTCGCCCATTGTCGCGTTCGTGCGCGCACGGGAGCCGATGTAGCCCTCTGGCAGCAGGTTTTTGCAACATTTAGTGCTAACCAACTAATTTGTTGCTAAATACTTACTACTAGAACGCCCCACATCTAGAAGGGCTCTCATTCCCCCTCCAAATCTAAAAGGGGGTGTACAATAGCAACCTGAAGTAGTGCTAGTAGCTTCATACGAAAATACGTTTGCCTGATTTTTTCTATCAAATTACAGAGAATTGTAATGTTTATATTCTTCACTACTTACTACTATTCATGCTTATTTTCCTATTAAATTCTCACTCAAATAAACATCTACACTAAGTGACAGGAATATGTGTGAATGGAAAAATCTTTCCTTGTTTTCGTTTTATGTTGTGCTACTAAATAATTCAGGGATTATTTTGTCTGTTAAGAAGATTTGTTTGTTAATTTGTCTCTTAATTACGAAATACTTGAAGGATTACGAAATCAAGATGTTTTTGATTCAATGTTTTTTTAAATTTTAGTCTCCATTAAGAATTTGATATTAGACTGATGTTTTATTTCATTTAAATGGAATTTGCTTTTAAAAAAATGGAAATTAATGTGACCAAATGAGTGACAATAACTGTCAAGAAACTTCTCCAAGAGAGTTTATAAAATAAAGAGTGTCATGGGCCAGGTATCCAGTGATGTACCCCGATTCCCATGCAATTGGAAGAAACCTTACTTTTGAATTTCGCGCCAATTGCTCTGGACGCAGTGCCGCGAACTTGACATGCCTGAGGAGTGACCGAGAGTTTCCAGACATTAAGCAGGGCGACAGTGTTTATTTTTTGTAATCATTTGTTTAACTTTGAATGAGATAACTACTCGCATTACTTGAACGTAAACGTAAGCTTCCGCGGCTCGAATCCATAAATTCTCGGCTATCCGGGAGACGCCGCGTCGTTGGCTGGGAGGACGCCCAGCTGGCCTCCAAGTCAACGACACGTCGTCTCCCGGATAGCTTAGAATTCACTTGGACGTCAGAAAATCCCTGAAAATGAAAGTTATAAACAAGATTTTTCCACTTTTTCTGTGTCAGGTGACCCCAAAACGTGAATTTCCGTTGAAATCTCGAAATAGATTTTCCGCAGCACTTCATAACTTTCACTATACTTCGTATATTATTCCGAATATAAGAACGGATTCCGGGAAAGTAACAATGGAACACTAAATCCTTTCCTAAATAAAGATAGAGGAACAACCTGCTTTGGTTGCTCGTCTCGACGGGTCCTCCCATGGATAGACCTCTGCCCAAACTCACCGCCGTGGAGACCTCGCAGACGCCTGGGGCTCGGGATCCGCGCCCATCCCCACCTCCACCGCATCCTGCAAGGGAGCGGAGCGGTGAGCGCCCGGACAGGAGCGCCCGGGGGTCGAAGCACGTACCTCGGAGCGGGGCAGCTGCGCCTCGGCTTCGCTGCTGGGCAGCGTGGCCTCGGAGGACGCGGAGAGCTCGTCCTCCTCCCTGGGCGACGCGTGGCGGCCCTGCAAAAGCCAGAGCCACAGCCTCACCCCGCCGGCGCGATCAAGTGCCGTGGCCGAGAACGTTAGGCCGGGCGCGTCTTCCTCGTTGACGGACGGAAAGGAAGAAACGACAGATTAGGTACGCCGAAGGCGTCACCCGATCTCTGGACACAATTTACCGTAGAAGCGTTTCTATTCAACATCTCAATCCAAGTTGCTATTCTAATTTTATGGAGGGTGTAACTAAATTTCCGGTGCCTTATAAAGTGTCTAATAGTCTATCCAGACGTTATCTTTCTAATATCTTGAAAATTTGTGTTTTACGAGTGCCTGATAAATCCATCCAATGGTTAAAGTATCCGGTAAATAATCTAGAGGTTCGAAAGACTGTTAAATGTTTATCTCGTAGATGACTCCAAAATAAAAGAATTTGTGTGTGGACGTGCTGTCATTTTCAAGAAATATGTGGCATTTCCTCACGGAAACAACGTCATAGAGATGATAAGCGACGAATTATTTGACTGTTTAGAGAGACCTACCAGAATATTTTGAGATCCTTGACGAACAAGATGGCAAATCCCGTTTGTGGTTTAGGAAGCCTATTTTTAACAAAGTTATGTCTGTGATAGAACAGAAAATAAAAACAAATGATTTGGGAATACCGACTTATATTTCTGAAATTCCTTTTAAAGTAATGGTCCTTTAAAATTAATTTTAAGTCAAAATATTAAAATATATACTTTGTGTTTTGTTAGCAATTTTGAGGCATCACCATATTTATTTTATCGTAATTACGGACTTCATTGAAGGGAGCTATGTACTGCTTCAAGTGTAGTGAGTTCGTGAAGTTTCAAAGGAATATAGAAATCACCCAAGAAGAATTTTTTATGAAATTGCTAGATTTTCTAGCGTTCTCGCACCAGTAGATTGCACATATGTTCTCATACAATCACCTGGTAATATGTAACATACATTTCATCGATGTTTAAGAGAAATGACATCACAAAATACAATTTGCAGGAAAATCGTTTTATGTTGAGTGGAACCTATTTTATAGCGTCTACTCTACATAGTCACTAATACATTAATTCAACACAAGTATCCTTTTCTTTTTTAACAATCAATTAATTTGTTTCCCAAAAAACGTCTTTATTGTCCGACACACACATTCGTATGTCAATTACACTCATCAACATATGTTAGATACGCCTAATAGGCATGATCCGTCTTTAAAAATGTCAAACAAATTTTGAAGAAAGTTAATAAAAAATAATAAAAAATAAAAGCTAAGTAGAGATAAGAAATAAAATTCATTAAAAAATCATGTATAAGTGAAAAAATTTATAACTATTAAGTAGAAAATATAAAAGCAAAGAACTTGCCAAAACTTGTTATTAAGTAGATTTTTTTACAAAAAATTAGAACTATATAACAAATGTCATCAAAAAAATTCAATCACAAAACAATAATTCCCATCGTGAGAACACACTTATACTCAATATTTAAGGAGATAGACAAGTGTGAAGAGAGAGAGAGAGACAGAGAGAGAGAGAAACAAATTGACAGTCGGAGAGAGGGGACAGAGAGGGGGAGAGAGGGGGGAGAGAGAGAGAGCAGATCAGCATGAAAATAAACCTTACTATTTTAAATAGGCAACTATGAAAGCAAGTAAAAAAGAATAATCAGAGGTGGAAGGAACGGATCTAAACGCAAGTACACCAATAAATTTATAAACTTCCCCTCCACTTTGTGATATTTGCACATTCATTTAACGATATCCAACATTATAGAAAACTGCACTCAAAGCATATTATTCACCTTGTCGTATTCGCCCGAATATCAGAGCAAATTGATCAAGTTTTGTGAAAATTGTAATATAATAATACAAAATTGTAATATTCTTAATGATATATGATAATGTGTAATTTTATTGTTTATTATATATAATATGTGATGCCATTCAATGTTAGAATATATATGTTATTACACTTATTTTGATGTAATAATGGATGAAATTATAATTATAAGTACTTGCTATAAATCAATAAAAATAAAGAGACAAAAATATAAAGGCAATAGAAACCCCTTCACAAAGTATAAAAATATCGGTAGTCGTTTTTGTGGCTTCCATTCAACAGACAACTGATTATGATGGCTAAGCCATCGAAAGCTGCTCTTATAGTAAATACTATTGTTGGCAATGAGAACGTTTATAATTATTTCGTATAAAATATATTTTTATTTTAGAAAGAACATTGTCATAAAGGTCTGTGAAATGATTTGATTCTAACATGGAATTAATAGTCCTGTATTTTTATCTGTAGTGTTTCTGAGATTATTCTCGATTTTTTTCTAGGTCCATTATCCCAAATTAGTTTTTATTTTAGAGAGAACATTGTCATAAATGTTCTTGAAAAGATATGATTCAAACATGGTGTTAATATACATTAATTAATTAAACATGGCATTTAATTGTAAATTATACTCTCTAAAATTATGTTCAGGGAGTGAATAGTATTTAGAATTTTATTTTTATAATATATAATAGGCTGATCAACAGAGAAAAGTCTCAATATTGAGTAATTTATGAGAAATTGGCAGTAGGAATTAAAGAATCCATTTTAAATTATATCTTTCATAATCATCTCAAAATTGTATTTCGTTGCCTTACTCCAGTTATGATTTCATTTTTAGTAAGCATCATTTCCATTATAATTTTGTTTCCAAAAAAGTTTGAATTATGACATATAATAACTTATAATCATATAATTATTATAACTATAAAATCAAATTTTCTTGATCTCTCTTCAGAGCTTTATATTTTATTGAAGATGTTTCCCTTCGCATCCCCCACCGACCTACTGAAAACCATTTCAATAGTTATCCATGTCAATGCCTACCCTACCACATGGTAGACTCATTTACTTTTCATTTATTAATATTTTTCTTCTCCGCAACGGTGGATACAAGTCTGTTTCGTCACGTGTAAAATTAACTCCTCTTTCTCGCTTCTTTCCATTTTGAAACTCCTACACACACACAACGACGCAATAAAACAAACTTTTACACCTAACTCACACATAGCTCACGCCGAATTAAACTGCAACACAAAATAACGACGAATGAAGCGTAAAACACCTCACCCTTCTATTTCCGAAACACATTTGAATTGGCGCCTAAAGAGCTCGTTTGACTCGAAAATGCGACATTGCCGCTGATAAAAGAGCAATCAGCCAGATTATTTATCAGAAAGATGTCTGTCAGATATATTAACAAGAAAAGACCTCGATGAAACGCAAAATAAATATCAGGTACTTTTATATGACCAATAATGTCAGATTAATATCCGAAACTTTATTAGGCACCGGTGAAACAGGCCATAAGAGTACAAATGAGTATAGACATCATATGATGAAAACTAAAATAAAATTCTATCGTACAAAGCTAGTTGCAAACTTCTCCAGTTGTTAAATTAAACCAAACTGTCAGGGATGTGATGTTTTTTATTATTAAAATTCATTATTTTTTTATAATTTTTTTGCTTTGAAAGAATGCTTATAATCTTTGTCACAAGCGAACGCATCGAAATTACAAACTGTGTAAAGACCACTTTTCGCGGATACTGCCAAGAATTAGAAGTACCGATAGTTAGTTCCTTGACAAGGACTACAAATTTCACTGACACATAAGGAGCGCGCTCGCCCTTTTAGACTACGAAAGCAACCTACAGCACTCTACATTGCAACGTTCTAGTGTAGTCACCCCGTCACCCTATTACATAGGCAATGACGTCGCAAATAAGTTCTATACAGCAAATGTCTTCCATGATGATACCTTGTTACTATTTAATAATAATTGTTAGAAGAATTGGCCAGCCTAATGGAGAATCGAATTTGGGTTTTCTTGTTTACTCTCAGTTGCTAATTCCATTGTACTACCGATACGACCAGAGTTCGTGGGTCTGATGTATTACCCTTTACATGATACTAAATAGTAACAACGCTGAAACCTCGTGGATATGCAAATATGCACAGAAAATATGGTCCAAGTACGTGTTCAAAAAATATCGTTAAAATTGCAAATTGGTTGCTGTGTAACTAATATATTTTAATCATTAAATTGATCAATGAATTAGTCACCTCGTCCGTATAGCCTGGGTTCCCTGATTTACGCTCGTTGGCAAGAGATATAGTTGATAACATTATCCGTTCCTCTCTAGGACTTAGCTAGAAATAGCTTGATGTTACGAACGAGTTATTTTCACCTAGTCAGTTTGACTAAGTAGGCTACCTTTTACCTCCATGCATCTTCTCTGAGGATCATTTCATCGGCAATCGTGCACTTATTTCCATCATTCCCCCGTATTAACCCCCTTCACTTCTTCATGCGGATTAGATGTTTCCAGGCACGTCAACTGTGACGATCATTAATTCCGTTAGACTAATGAAAGTTCTATCCCGGGACGCTCGGTTCTCCCCCCAGCAAGATGGAGAAATTCGGCGCCGGACTAAATGACGTCTTCTTAGCCGTTTTTCCGTCAAGATACAACCGGCAGCGGGGTTCTGACCCGGTAAGGACACGCTCTAAGCTCCCGAGTGATCTCTTGTCGTGTGTAGCACTGTATTGTCTGTGTAGGGCGAGGGTACGCGGCGATTAGGAGACAAGTTCTCACGAGGCTGTGTCCCGTTTCGTAGGAAACCACGAACAACTACCAATCAGAGCAGCTGATTGGTAGAATTCTCCTCCAGGCAGCAACTGAATTCGACTTATCTGTAGAGTTCGTGTCAACAATCCGCCACCATTAAAACCTCGCAATCAGAGCTGCTCTCAGTGTCTCTCAGAGACATTTCAATATTACAAACATGGAAATGAAATGTTCACCAAGTTTAAAAACATATAGTTTGCATCAACTAACATTTCCTCACGAAACGTCGTTAAATTGCCAGTTATCTAATATTACTTCAATTGTTTTACAAAATTACAAAGTTTTCCATTTAGTTAAATTCAAGATATTTAAATTCAAAAAATCCAAAAAATGGGATATAGGTCAGAAATGGGCTAATTTGGTTCTCTCAAGTCACTTCGAGCGTCAACATTTGATATCCCAGGGATGGGTCGCGTACACGAACTTTTGTTATCAGTTACAAAGCATCACAGTTCTAAAAAGAGGTTAGTAACGACACTGACCATAATATCTGGTACATTTTTTTGATGGCCTAGTACGAGTGGTTCGCGCAATGTTTTTAAATTTTGAACAATTCAATTTCAGATTTCCAGTTCTTCTTTTGCTAGATTTTTTCAGGAGTTATCAAATCACCATACGGCAATGGCTACGCTGAGAAACAGCTATTGAAAAATTCTCAAAATAACTTCTCATTGTTGAGCATTGTTTCTAGGTGTATGAAACGAAGTTTTGAATTGTCAAACTGTGATTAATATTAGCTTTAAAAGAATTAAGTTTCCATGTCTAATGCACTACGATTGGTAAACATCTACAAATGTTGAATTGAATTGCATTTGCCTTATTTTACGTGGCGAGACTCGGGCCATCAGACCCGCTCTTCCGTCTGACCACGCAAATTTCGCTACACTACTTTCATCAACTATCAGACATTTATATTCGCATTTAAATATGTGAAAGCTACCTTTCCATTCTTGTTTACGCACAATATTGTAAACATGTCATGTAGCCAATCAAAAAACGTGGTCTTACATTGTCTTACTAAATGTCTCATTGGCTATAACTAATCAAGAAATACAAATTAGTGTGTTGATCGGAGACGATTAGCAAATGAAAGCGCTTTGGGATTGGCTAAGTCGCCTGCTTAGTGGTGCGAGTTTCATACAGAAGGCGAGCGAACCTTGACAACTCGCCTTTAAAAAGGCTGCTTGTGAACCGCAACTGCGCACTCAGTGGAGTATCGCAGAGCCGAGTGTAGGCAATAGCGACAACCACATTTCGGAATCTTGAGTTTGTAGCTAGAGTGAGAAGCGTATATGGTGTAGAGGCAGCGTTGAAGCGTCTAGATTTAAAATTAAAACATTTGGAAGAACATAACTGCGTTATTTCGTGCATGTTTAGTACGCAAATTTCGCTCCGCTCCCTTCATCAACTAGGAGAGAAAGGAGGCATTTCTTGGACGAGAAACAGGCGATTTGAATTCTGGTCAGAGGCGTCATTTAGGCTTGAGGATCTTTTACATGTAAGTAAATCTACTAACATGGTACAGCCGGCTTTACTTCCCCTCCGAAGGAAGGCGTACGAAGGATTTTTTCGCTCTTAAAACTCCACGGCTTCGATCGGGTTTGAATCCGCGAACTTGGGTACAACAATCCGGTACGCTAACCGTTACACCATCGCCGCCACGCTGTGTGATATATGTTAATAGGGACAGAAACTGCTGTATTTTCATATGCTATATTTTTCGTATCGAAACTAATGCAAAAAATACGTCCTGTTGTCACATCACTAGTTTCGTCTTAAATCGGTTTGTTGCAAAAAAGGTCTCATCCTGTAGTAGCACACTTATGGTACTTTTTAACAGTCATCTTTGTCATAATATGAAGAGAGGATGTATAAATGACTGTATTTTGTGAACTAACATTATCTTAATTTGCCTGATGAAAAAGAAATGAATTTGTGAGATCAGGTACACAATCGCATACATTTAAAAAAGTAGTAATTTAGGACGTTAACATTAAAAAAATATTCTTAGATGGAAGTACTAATGAATCGTGATACATTGACATCGTATTCTTAACGATAATGTTCTCATTTCGTATATTCTTTGACTTTAAATTTAATATGTTGTAGTGTAAAAACCTGTCTAATTTCATAATATTATTAATTGGAATTGCAATCATTATATTACGATTACTTAGACAAAAATTATCAAAGACTCAGAGAATACGTTGGATAAGAATATTATTTGACAGCAATGCACCCTTTTGACGAATAATAAATGACAGCATATTTATCGCGAATTGTGAATTAACACAACTCTTTGCGTATCCAATATAATACGTACATCTTCAATAGCGAGTATAGCGTCCGTTTCGCTACTAGGAAGTGTCGCTTCAGAAGAATCTGACATCGCATCCTCCTGACTAGATAAATGCTGCATCTGTGAAACAAAAGTCAACATGAAACTTGACCTTCTAGCCTGGTTTCCCGTTTACTGAAGCTGGTGCGCGAATTCTTTTTACCTCTGTTTCAGTTGTCACGTCCATTCTAATTCTATTGCTTTCCTCCAGGGCATCTGAGTCTACTGGTTGAATATATGTCTGAAATAAATAGAATACAAACTCAAGCTATTGTAGGTTAATAACTTAAAAACAGATTTATGAAATATATAGTCAATTAATTTCAGTTTTCGTATTTGAGTTTTGAGAGCGAGAGAAAAAATATTTCAGAGATAAAAGTAAGCTATAAATATTATAACTGAATTTCTTCGTTCTTGTCGTAATCCTTTTGATCTTTTTAAATGCAGACAGAGAATAATATGAATTAGTAAATTAACGGGAGTAAATATCAAGGAATTCTAAGAACTGAAATGAAAAAAATAGAATTCGATCTAACGCCTTTTATCAACAGAAAACTTGTTTTATGATTTCATATAAATTAACTGTTCTCTGATAAAGGAATACCTAACATCTTACGATGGTAATATATTTGAACAAAAATTGTCCGCCAAATAAATTTGATTTATAGGTAATTCAATGACATTCCTGTATATCTATTCCTAAATAATTCAGATACTTGACATAAATAACGTAATTAATGAACATTTTATGAAATTTCATTTTTAGAAATATTTTTCTAAGGCTCTCATACATAAGAGGAGTACGAAGGCCGAAACTGTGGTTGAAAACTATATTTCACATATGTACTCTGAATTAAATGCACTAATGTTTTTGAGCCACTATCTTTTGTTTGTTTCCTTTTACGGTTGAATTACAACACCATGCGCGCTGTAAATTAAAACTAAGTGTGAAGAAATGTATTGTATCTATACATCTACGAACACTTACAAATCTTCGTTCCATTGCTATTACGTCACGTATATAAGAGGTTCTGCTATTATGTGGCAGTTTTGTTCCTTGTGCATGCCGCACAATCGACAGTAACACGTCTAAACACGAACATAAAGCAAAACATGAAGATCGTTGCTACATAACAATATTATCTTGCGTCCCGGCCATCTGAACCTCTCGACATCTTTCTGTTGCATCTCTTGTAAACACATATTTATTATTCTCCAACGATTTAATTAATTTTGAAACTGCCATAAATATTTGTTTCTAGAACTCTAAAATAATTCAGCATTTGCGTAAAAAAACAATCTTAAAAGCCTTCGTAACTCAAGCCATTTTCTCTTCACACTTCAGGTTTAGCACTGTTTGCGGTGATTGTCTTAACAAATGGAGCACGTGGAGAATGTCACGTACTGTCTATGTGTTAGCACATTTCTTAGCACGAGAACTTTACAGTTGCATCCTTCAGAAACAATAAGGCGTCGAACTTCCTGTACATTTCATTTCTACACCATGAATTTAGAAGATTTCATTATGTTTAAACTTTAGTGCATTGTGTCTACATTATTTTGAGAAAATTCGTATTATTGGGATATGGCCATATTAAACATTTCACACATGTTTACTATACTACAGTTTTACTTTCACGTCTTACGTAATTATTCAGAATAGAATGATACGTAATGGTGCGCCGAAAATAGAGCATTTTCAGCAGAAAAAATCTTATTACCGGGCTCTGAAAAAGAAAAAGTGGACAAAACCTGTTGCTTAGTTTATCGGAAAATCATCTCTACGTGGTGTAGCCAGTATCTATGTTGGTTCTTGATACCTAAAGTCGATTGGCGGCAAAACGTCTATTTGTCTGTCTGTTCGTCTGTGGTCAACGTAGTCGACTAAAAAGTTCAGCCGATTTTCTTCAAAATTGCTATTCACCAAACGATCTGATAGAACTCGTGACTTTAAGAGTTTGAAACGGATATTTGGATTTTTGAGAAAACTTCACACGAAGCATCAAAACATTTTCAACATTTTCATAAAAATGTTTTGATTAAACTTTGTTTTTGTTGATATTGCACGAAGAACGTTTAAGGTCTAATGAACGTGATGGTTTAATTTTCGATAAAATCACCGATTTTTTGAAAATTGAAAAAGCGCCATTTTGGGGAGGGGCGTCGTCCTATGACTATAATATTAAAGATACAGATTTTTCCTTGAAAATTTGTTCTTTTAAAGACGAATCTTTAAATATGTTCATGTTCAATTTTTCTAAAATATGAGTAGTTTTCGTGTAATTTTGAGCGAAATATTACAACAACCGCTCAATGTTTTTCGTTATAATTTCTCTTCATATGTAATAAGGGTAAAATATTATGCAAAATTAAAAATAACGATTTTTGTTTTACACAATGTGTGCTGTAAAAAACCAGCTCTTCAAAACGGGACATGAACAATTTTTTTGAAAAAAAATAGCTGATACTACTTAATTAATTTTCTAAAATTTATGCAGTTTCTAAATTAATTCTTTTCTTAAAACCCGCACGAAATATTTTCATTTAAGTTTCTCCTCTATGTAAGAACGTATGGTAATTAAACCAGTAGTGCAAAGACTACTTTTTCTAATCTCTTTAATCAGGACTGGTCATTTGGTTTTTAAAACGTATGTCACGTTAAATAAATTGTCTTTCTGTGCATTTTTAAGAACCGATTTAAGTAAACTAAACAATCTATCAACATGAAACTTAAATGCATTGGAAACACTATTTGACTCACATATCAAAGAATCTAGAGATTCCTAACGAAATTATTATTACGTTTTTGCCTTATGAATTCTTCATAAGAAGAGAAAGTTGTGCAATCGTGGTAAGAAATATTCAACACGACATTTCAATACATTATAAATACTACCCATGTGACCAAATTTGTGTTTCTTGTACTATGGTATACCAAATAGATCTGATCTTCTCGCTCTTACGAATGGTCTTACCACACGGTGCTTCTGTGACGTTGTGGTATGAGTGTTAGCATGTTAACTCTGAGGATCTGTGTTTGGGTTTCCGAGCGAAAATAATTCTTTTCTGACTCTCATTTTTGCAAGTTTATGTAGTAGTATAATATAGTGGAGCAGTTAGAAATTATGTGAGAAGGTATGTGCTTTTGTAGCACCACTTGTTTTTTATTGAAAGCAGTATCGATTAGTGGGCAGCAAACCACACAAAGTGGTTTTAAATAAAGTATCGATCAAACGTCTCAAGAACCACCAATATAATTTTCTCCCAAAACACTGCAATAAATTAAATATTTTAACAAATATTATCTTCGCGTGTTCAACATACGTAACATGCTAATGGGTAGGATACACAGTAAGGCAGTTTTTTTGCGTATCAAGAATATCAAAGGTGGTGCTAGAACAATATATACTTTTTGACATACCAGGAGAGGTGGCTCAGGGTATCAACAGATGTCACTGCAGTGCCTCTGACCGGCATGTCCTAGGTTCTATTCCCGAGGGAGTTCTAGTGTGGAGGATAATTCAAGTGGCCAGCTGCTCTCGACAGAAGTTTTCCGTGGTTTCTCCTATCAACACAAGGCGAATGCCGGAGCAGTACCCTAACAAACAGGCCACGGACCGTGCTCGATATATCCTTCCTCTTCCTTGCCTTATCATCACTTCCTACTTACACACACAAACATACATTACACCACCACACATGCTGGGAGATCGGTCGGGAGTTATAGTTTGTCCCGGCTGGGGTGGTGACCCGCTGGTGGGAGATACCTGATTACGGAAAACCCCGCTAACTGACGGTAGGTCTCGCCATCCAGCGGAGGATGACCACTACCATCTCCCGACGAAAAATATGCGTACACTTACGAGACTAATGACCTGAACAGTTACCGGAATCAGTAACAATCAATCAACTTGCTGACATTAATTCTAAATTTGCAATTTTCGGTAATTGAAAGAGTACAACGAAAGAGTCCAGCGCCATTCTTTTCAGCGTTCTATCTATGGAAATAATTTGAAAAAAAAAAATTGGAGCGGTTTTCGGGGAAACGTTTATTGTATGAATCGCATTAATTTCGAACCCAAATTACACCAAAACCACTTTTTTATTTTAAAAAACTGTACACGGCCTGTTTTAAAGAGCTAATGTTTTGGAATGGACTTTCAGGAAAAAATATCTATTTTTAATTTTGTAGTTTTACAATGTTAACATTTTGTAATTTTTGAAAATACAGTCTCGTCTGTCGAAAATGGAACCACATTTTAAATCGCCTGTTGATACATAAAGAGGAGGAATTTTAAAGACAAATTTTGTGCCGTTTTTGAAAAAATGGAAATTTTGTACCGTTTTAGGGAAAACAAATTTTTAAAATGCCTATATTTCCCGCATGTTTTGCAAAAAATACCCATGTTTTCGAACTATTTATTGAGACCTTATTTCAAAATCTGTCTTTAAAAAATAGATTTTATTCGGGAAAAAAAATTCTATCTCGAGGACAAAGTTTAATAAAGAATTTTGGTGACATTTTTGAGAAACTTGAAGAGTGGGGAAACGGTATTTGTCCACTTTTTTGTTACAAGTGTCTGGCACAAAGAGATTTTCGGCAGAAAATTTGCAGTGTTCCGGCGCACGATTACATCACTCTCTTCTTATGAAATATCTTCGTAAGGCCGCGAAAATAAACATAAAGATTTTTTTCCATCTTTGAAACATTGATGATAACATTTATTTTAAACAATCATGTTGGTTTGAAAGAACCTAAGCTATTTCATGTACAGTTCTTTACTAACTGATCTTGTACAGGTATTAGAACTGAAAATTATTTCTTTAGGTAGATCGTAATAAATAAATAAATAAAACACTTGAAATATAAAATCTAAGTTCTGCATCCGTGTTAAATTTTTTACGTGTTTCGTAATAAAAATGTGTTAAATTCCTACTCAATTTCATTGAAATAATGTGTTTTCTCACGTGAAATAGGAACTCATTTCGGTCTAGTGCACGGTTTATATAAGTTGGTAATTGAGATATGGGGCTCGTGTTACATACGTATTTTCAAGTCTAAGAAAGACTTGAGAAGACGCCTTCATCGCGTAAGGGTTCACATGTCAAGGGACACTGCTATACGAGGATACGAGGAAACCCGATTTACACACTTTCTTTCTTCGTGTTTGCATCTTTTCGAGGGAAGAGAGAAACAGTTCGCGATTGCTTTCGTCAAAAAAGCCAGAGCATCAATGGAAAAGGTGACGGGATACGGACATGATAAGACTCGATTTACAAGTTTCCGTTGAAGGAACACTCGTCGCACTTTTAGAGAACGCCCTCATGCGCTGAATGGTTTCTGTTCCGAATTTCAAGAACCTGCGCCCGAACGCGTTCGCTAAATCTAGGAAATCGCTCCTTCTAAACCTTGCGGCAATTGCTCTGGACGCAGTGACCGCGAACTCTGGAAAGGTAGTTACTTTTCCCGCGCCTTGACACGCTTGGAGTAAGGTCGATCATTACCGTTAAAGTAGACTCAATCAAAATTAAAATGGGAATAAAAATAAATCACAAATCTTACTTTTTAGGTTCTTATAACGTCATGGGTGTTAGCAGGTTAATGAGAATGTATTCTATAGTTATCATGAGGCTATAGGCTTTAGTTCGACTACAAAATCCAAAGTTGAAGGGAAACATTGTAAAGATGTGTTTTTCATTCAACGTTCGTGTCGTTCATAATCCTTTCTAGAGAAATTCAAAACTGTTTTATAGCATAATTATTACCGAGACTGAGCTCATACGATAAATATACCAGTGAATATTGCTGAAATAGAGGATTTCTTTCATAAAAAAATTGGCAAAATAGGTTTCAAAAGTGTGAATAAATAGTTTATTTCAATCAACAATTACAAAGTATTACATCATTGCATCTGAATAGTGCAATGGGACAATTTATTTGAAATGTAACAGTCCTTAAAATTTTAAATAATAAATACAATAAATACTTGAATGAAAAAAGAA